AAATATCTCGGTTATAAAATTTCGCAAAAGGGTATAGAAACGCAAGATTCAAAAATAAAAGCTATCAAGAATTTCCCACCTCCCAACACCGCCAAGAAACTTTCTTCTTTCCTTGGGTTATGTTCTTACTATCGGTCTTTCATAAAAGATTTTCGCTAATATTGTTGAACCACTGTTAGTAATTAAAGAAAAAGAAAGTAAATTACGTGGACAGCGGAAGCAAATACAGCATTTGAAAGATTAAAAGAAGCGCTTCATTCAATGCCCCTGTTTTGAAATTCCCGGAGGGGGACGAAAACCTGGAAATTGCAGCAGATGCGTCGGACTATGCGGTGGGTGCGGTTCTTATGCAAAATAGCCATCCTCTGGCATTTTTTAGTAAAACGTTGAATCATACACAAAGGAATTATACAGCTACAGAGAGAGAAACATTAGCCGTATTAATGGCTGTACGCAAATTTCGAGTTTATTTCGGCAAAGCGCCAGTAGCAGTCTTTTCGGATCATGCGGCTGTTGGTAGACTTTACTCGGGGAAAAAAACCTAACGCCCAGGTTAATAAGATGGGCTTTAAAACTCCAAGAATATAATCTAATAATAAAATATAAACCGGGTAAGGAAAACAATGTAGCTGACGCACTTTCTCGTATAAAACTGGACGATGAAGGTAATGAACTTAAATGCGCTGTGTTGACTTCAAAAATTTTAGATTCTAGAGATATAATTATCGCTGAACTGAACTGAAAGCTGATCCTGAATTTGGAAAGTATCTATGCATATTTGAAAGACGACCCCGAAAGCTTTGAGCACACAGATATCGATGCGCGAAATAGAGAAATAGAGCAGAAAACTATGAAATAATAGATAATTTATTATTTTATACGAAAACAACAAACGAAAATCTCGAGTACAAACCAGTCATCCCAGCCTCGCTTCGATTAAGCATTTTGACGGAATTACACGACGCGGAAAACAGCGGGTCATTTAAGAGGGTCATTTGGGTCAGAAAGACTTTAAAAAGGGTACGCGAGGCGGTATATTTCCCGCAATTATACAAAATAGTAACTGCGTATGTCAGGTCCTGCAATCAATGTCAGTTAATAAATGATATTAATTACAGCCGGCCGGGTACTTAAATAGCATTCGCGCTACATTTCCGAATGAAATTTTAGGCATAGATCTTCTTGGTCCCTTCCCCAGAGCGAGTTAAATAAAAAATCGTTTTCTTTTAGTAATGTAGATCATTTTTCAAAATGGACTAGAAATTGTTCCACTTAAACGCGCGTCAGCCAAAACAGTCGCAGATGCATTCTTACACAGATACATTTTAAAATACGGTGCACCGATAAAAGTCATTAGCGATAACGGTAAACAATTCATTAGTCAAATATTTGAAAACATATGCACTGGACTTGGCATACGCCATATCAAAATGTTTCCGTATAGACCACAGGCAAACATAGCAGAAAGAGTTAATAAAAACATTGTAAAAATAATTCGCAGTTACGTTAGCACACATCACAAGCCCTGGGATGGCTACATACATGAGTTGGCTTATGCTTTAAGAACGGCAAATCACGATACTACGGGAAAAACCCCAGCAGAATTATTTTTAAGTTAGTTACACCTTTGGATAAATTATTCTTTGTGCAACAAAGAGAGCAAGATTTTAAACAAAAAGATGTGCAAAAACGATTAAAAATTGATACAGGCGGCTTAAAAGCTTCGGATACGGCAAGAAATAGACAGAAACTTATATTACGATAGAAAACGCCGTGAAGCAGATTTTAAAGTTGGGGATAAAGTATGTTGAAGCGGAAATTTTCTTTATCAAGTGCTCCAGACAATTTTACTGCAAAGTTGGCTCCAAAATTTGAAGGCCCCTATGTAATTCAGGAAATCAAAGGGAGTCGTATTGTACCTTAAGAACGAGAGAGGGGAAATCTGTAAAGCAAGTCCCGACCAGGTGAAAAAATACTATAATCAAAATGATTTTGAAATCCTTAAAAGTTTCTTGCAGGACTCAAGTCGCAAAAGAAGTAGAAGGTCCAGAAATAACGCCAACCCGTTCCACCACCCAAGAAGCAGAGAACTGAAGAGAAACCTAGCCCTTCTACAACCCGGACGACGGTACCAAAAAGAAAAAATGAGAAAACTTTCAAACTCCAGCATTTAAGAAAAACAAGAAAGCAATGCCGCCGCGTAAAGAAACCGTGGTAAAGAGGAAAAACACCACCTTACAACGTATCGCACAGTAGAAATTATACATCAAGGAGAACGCATTTCCAGGGCCAGAGAGTCAGGTGCAAACAAGGCCGCCGTTCCGAAAACTGAAAAGACAGCAGGAGGAACGAAAAGACCAGCACCAACAGAAGAAATTCAAGAATGACTCCACACCGGAGGACGCCAAGACCAGCCGTCCAGGGGAAAAACGAAAAAGACAGCAACCCGACGACTACTACTCCAAGAGGCCAGCATGCAGAGGACGAAAAAGAAAAATTAAAATGGACGACACTCGGAGGTCATTAAGGAGAAGACTGACGTCCATGAAACCTATAACGTGGGAGCAGTTCTGTCAGAAAAGAATGACGGAGTTCTAATCATCGAAAACTCAAAGATAAGTTAAAATCTTCTATATTTTTTTTCTTTTGTTCCAAAATGTTATGCGTAAATACGAAGTTCTATGTTTTGACGAAAGTCAATGTGTCTCGGTTGAGACTTAGTTTTGTTTTACTTTATTTAGCTAAGGCAAAAGTATTATTTTTTTTCAGTGTAAAATCTAAGAACAAGCAGTTTCTGTTGGTCGAAAGACTAATTCTGTTATGTTAAAGCCAAAATTTGGCCGAAGATAAAAATAACTTCGTATTCTTGTATTAATAATAACTTTAGTTTCAGTGCCGCCAGCTTGGCGAAGAATGCGTAAAGTAAAAATTTATTTTTCTCTTATTCATTTTGTGCCCACCAGCGGCCGAGCGGTAAAGTCGCTGAACACTGGTAGTTCGGTCCGAGGTTCGAATCCCGCGAACGGGCTGGCTGCATGGGCGTTTTCGTGGTTTTCCCCATGTGTAACGTGTATACGAGCCAGTTTCCCTTAGAAAGTCCTCCACGAAGGCATCCCTCCCCTTAGGCAGATAGCCCTCGAGGCTTTGCCATAATCACACACACACACTTATTCATTTTATGGTAAATTGTAAAAATCATATGTATTAGAATTTTGTAAATATACGTAAATACTTGAAAGTTATGTAAAAGTAGAATTTAGTCTAGAAGCATAACATTTTAGATGCTAAAAGTAAATGCTCAAAAGCAATGAATTCAAATTTAAGTATTAAACTGGAGATAAAATCATGCTTTAGAGCGAAAGCCTGCATGTCTAAAGATGAATGAGGGGGAAGTTTGAATGAATGTGTTTTGTAGGGTTCTCCACCTACACTTGAATTTTAAGAATGTTAAAGTAGCTCATTCGAGTTGTAGAATGTCGAGTAAGGTGTGTCTATTTGGTCGTTGAATTCTAACAAATCATGGTGGTTAGGGGAAGTGTGTTGTAAGACTAAAACACGAATATTCCCGTTTGACACCACACATGGTGGAGAGCCAGGGTAAAGTTAAATTAATGCTTGAAAAACTTGAATGAATGTGAAGTAAGCAATAACTAAGGAAAATAAATCGTTTAAAAACAAAAATTTATTCAGTGTCCAGAAAGTGTAAATTATAAATGTATTAGAAAGATACTGATACTTATTCCTTCCAGATGCTGGAAGGAAAAGAACAAGATTGATTGATGAAGTCCAGGAAAAGTTGCTGTAAGAAGAGAGATTTAATTAAGCATACACAGAAATTTTATTATACCTTTTGTGACATAAGATTTTTTTTTTTTTGTGTAAACGAGGCTCTTAAAATTTAGTTCAGAATTGTAGATAAACTTTCAACAGGTCGTTTGTAGGACCTGCTTCCAAGTTTTCCAAATTCTGGCAGCGGCAAATGTAGGGTTTATATTTATTTTAAACTAACTTTTATTTTAAGTTTAAACTATCTTTCCTGTCAAGCCTTACTTTCCCCTGGAACTGCCAATGCCAGAGTATGTAAATTTTAGTAGAACGCGCAAGGATTCAAATTATCAGCGGAAGTATTCTGAGTTAAATAGAAAGGAAACGAGTTCGAAAGGGTGCTTTCTTACTTCACGAGATGCGGAGGTAGCTAGTTAGAAATTGAAGAACCACGCGTTTCGGCCTGTGTGCTTGCCTCGGCAAATTGTTAATCTGTTCAACGTGATATTCAAGTTTGCTGAATTAGCAGCGGTATTGTAAAACGCGGTGAGGTTAGTTACGTTTAGAGAGCCTCGTAGTTAGTTACTTGTTATGTCTCTTTTTCAGTTTCTTATTTTATTTTTGACCGCCGGGTCGGCGTAGTTTGTGAGCGTCAAGAGCACGCAATTGTAACTTCTAAAGTTGAATAAAAAGGGACTTAAACCCTTCTCAAGACTCTGTCTAATTTCCAGTTTTCAGCAGTCACCACTTTGTTGCGTGCAGGTTGGAAGCGCGCAACTTTACACTGTTATTCATTAAAAAACTGAGCCATTTAAATGCAATAAAAACAATTCACCATTTTTATTATTATTAATCTTTGGCTGCACTTATTAAAATAATACATGTTTTGATAATAACTATTTAAACAGGCTATTTAATTTGAAATAAAATGTTCTCTGTGGTTTTGAAACATGAATCATTTGCTGACTTTCGAATTGTTTATAGCTCTTGCATAAAAGCAGTGCAAAAGAGGTTAATATAGCAAATATTATTTAAGGTTAGTCTAAGTTTAAAGTTGATAAGCCCTCCATCCATTACTATAGTTGTTTTTGTGTTACATTAATGTTGTCATTTCCGTGACGCACAGTATTTATTATGTCACTAATATTAATTATTTCTAGCATAAAAAAGCATTAATTTTATTTGAAGCTTATATAAAATTATCCAATTAACGTTTATTTGCATTTTTCATTTAGGAGAAGAATGCAGTATTGCAATCTTTTAAAGAAAAAGCAATCTTAGTGGCTAAAACTTTTAGAAGTATGAAAGGAATGAAATGTAATGAAGTTGCTGGAGCCATGTATGCCTTCCCTCGTCTAATTCTTCCACAGAAAGCAATTGAAAAGGCTAGAGTATGTTTAATTTATTTCTATGCATTTTTGTTTAGCATTTTAATGCTATTTTAGTAGTTTCTCTGTCTTTAGCTCATTTTAGCAAGATTTTATGACAAATAGGATCTATAATTTGCAACGAAAATTTCTGTAAAGCCAGAAACTTTATTTCAAAAGGCAGTAATTAAATCTATATGAAATTAATTGAAATTAAATACCGTTTCAGTTTCTTTCATGTTAAGTTGTTTTGTCATTTCACAAAAACATGACTATTATGTTTCAATATATTGCAAATTAAGATTACTTTATACTTCTGAAAATGTTCATTATAAAGCATATAAAAAACAAAGAACTAATAAGAAAACCGTTAATATCACATAATAGCTTAACAAATTTTAAAAATTTCTATGAATAATATGTTGTTCATTTTAGAGTATGGGTCAAACTCCTGACTTCTTCTACGCAATGCAGCTTCTTGAAAATGCAGGTATTTTCGTCATACCAGGAAGTGCTTTTGGACAAGTACCTGGAACATATCATTTCAGGTGATGATCTCATTACAGTCAATTTTTCACCTTATATTATGTATAAACTTTGCATGGTTAATTGCATTATATCTTAGATAATCGTGTTGAAATTTACTTTTGTGCAGGACAACCATCCTTCCTCAAATTGACAAATTGAAAATCATGCTAAAACTATTGAGAGAACATCATGAAAACTTTTTAGCGGAATACGATTAGGTAAGTAGACTAGTTTAAATTAAATGATTGTTTAACTTAGGTTAAGCAACATTAAGTTCAACATTTGCTGCACTTTCATATTTCGCCACATTTGTCTCTTTCGATATGTAATTTTCTTTGTGCATGCAAAAATATTCTAACTATGTATGCAGTCTTCCTGTTTCAAGGAAGATACCGTGCTCCTGTGAAACTTCTCGCAAGGTGGAATAGCTTAGAATAAGAAAGGAATTGCCATTAATTTACACGAGAAATTATTTAGAGCATTTATAGTTTTTTAAATACAATTAAGTTCTTTAAATAAAATATACAACTGAACAATAACAGGTTTCGTACGGTCCTTAAATGTCCTTATGTTTTTTAAATCGATTTTTGGTCTTTAAAAGTCCTTAATTTCAGCCAAAATCGTCAGAAGGTCTTTATTTTTAATCAGCTGAAATTTTTGTCTTGTTTTTACAAGTGCTATTTTGAGTGTGAATTATCATTTTGGAAGAATAGTTTTGGCGATTCACTGATAAATATGACTATCTTTTGAATCTGTTCATGGGTTAAAATTTGTTCCTGTTTCTAATATGAAAGGTGGGATACTGGAGTTTCTGAGCAAAGCGTGAAACATAAATATTTCAAAATTATTTCATTTTTTTCTAATGAAGAGCTCTTAAACAACTTTCTGCTTTTGTGGATGTGAATTCTTTTATTAAACAGCTCAAATTTGGTGACTTATCAACATTTCAGAAAATTTTAATATCAGTTTCATTGAAAATTTTTAAATCGAAGATCTCGGAATTTTTCGACGATTTTTTAAAACATTATAACATTGATAAATTTAACTAAAATAATAGTAATATATTGAAGTTATATTTAAGAAATAATATTAAAATAAAACATATATGTTTTTTGCTGTCATATTACGAAGAGATATTACTTTCCGTTTTGGTGACTTATTATACAGCATTTTGAATATGAAAAATAAACAAGGTAATAAAATGCTATAAAGCACAGTTTACAGAACAATTCATAGCAAAAGCAAAATAGCTATGTAATTAATTAAAAAAAATTCCTTTAAATTTTTTCGTGGTAAGAAGTTTTCCCATGTAATTGTTTCAGAATATTCAAAATTATCAGAATATGCATCAGTTTTCTCTATAAAATTAATTTTACACTTTTTTCCACTGATTTTTTTTAAATATTTCTGACCTTTTTTCTATTACAGAATTGGTAGGGGTAATTTTTCTTTAAGATTTTAGATATTGCAACTTGGAAAGTTTAGAAGGATTTGAAGGCAAGATTTACAGACCCACAATTCTAGAAGGCTCCAGAAAAATGTGACAAAATAAAAAATGTCTTCAGTTTATTAACACATAATGGATGTATTTTACAGAAATTTTATAATAAATTTCTTACATTGTGAAGAATTTTTGGAAGGACAATGAAAATATAATATTTGAATGTTGTACTTCTGAGGCTAGAAGTCTTTTTAGAAGTCTTTTTCTTAACATGTTTATCTTCTCGTTATCTTCTCAGCTTTTCATTAGACACAAGAATGAAAAATATAAGAATGTTTCTAATCTTTTCGCATGGACAGGCATTTATAAAAAGAAATTTTTCTATTAATGAAAAAATTGAAAACTGACAATTTAAAAAATTCGCGTTATATGTCTCAATGGATCATACACAGGGCTGGCGATGGGCATTTTTCCACCTGATGCAATATCTGTCGATACTAAATTCTGCCACCCTAGTGCCTTCCTAATTATGCTGCTTAATAATTTCCTAAATTCTGCTCCCAGTCCCTGTCCTAAATTCTAAAAGTTTTGCCATTTCTAGATTTTGTTGCTCGGTGTGTCACTAAAATCTAAAAATTCTGCCTCATTGGCTCTGAAATCAGCCCTTACCACATATGATTTCATATTTAAATAAAATTATTAGCCTTTTTCTTTATATTCTAAATGCATTTGGTTTTTTAGAATAACAGAAATCTTTAATTCCTAAAAGTCTAAAGTGAAGAGGGAACGTTTTCAAAAAAACTGAATACATTTTACTAAGAGGAATGGGAAATTATTCTTCAAAGATATGTACAGTTATTATTATGCAAATTAATCAGTTGTTTAGAATTTTAGTCCTTAACTATAATTCCTCCTTTCCATTTCCTCATCATTATGCAAATCAGATAGTTTTAAACTGAGATTTTTGGATTGTAAGACAGAATGTTTTTGCCCTCCACTTGGATGTTGTCTTAGTTCCTGCCAGCTCTGATAATTTGTAATTATTCATTTTTGCATTATCGTTGCTAATATTTGAATTTGCTCCTATGATAAACTTACTGAGCCACCTTAGATTAAATTTAAATTGTGTAGTCTTTGACTACTAGTCCATATTTTTAGTTTTAATTTGGCTGTTCCTGTTTTAATTGCATCACCACAAGCTGTAGTTTATTTTGTCAACATAAGAACGTGTCCATATGTTCCAAGTTCTTTTTAAGTAAGAGGTTTATTTAAATCTTTATGTGACGCTTTCTGACATAACGATAATTTGCTTCATGTCTATCAGAGGTTTTGGATTATTGAAGTTTTACCAGATCACATAAAACTTCTTTAGGTACACTGTTGTGAGATTGGCAAGTTAGAAGATAAACCACACAGAAACTAGTAAGAACATTGGTTTGTGTATTTAAACAGATTTCTAATTGTTAGAAAAGTTGTTTAAAAAGAAGAAAATTGATATAAATTAACCAAAATGTCTGGGAAGACTCCGAATTAAAAAGTCGCATAAATATTTTGTTTGTAACTTTTAATGTGTAATTTTCTTAATACTGTTTAAGAATCAGTGGCATAAATTACACATATTTAAACAGTAAAGTGTTATTAGATTGTGATTCTAATGGTGGTCATGTAAATCTATAATAACTATGGGTATTTAACTACCTAATTTCATTATTTATAACTAACTGCTCACCTTTAAAGTTATCTCTGCGTATTAAAGCAAGTTATTGCTTTTCATTAATCATTACTGTGTCCACAAAATGCAGAACAAAAATGTATAAACTATTGCAAACTTATTTATTGAGACTTAAAATAATACAAAACAACTTATCACCTCTGCTGCATTAGTGGTTTATTGGAACTTTAAAATATATTAACCAGGTTACAATCTCAGAAACTATATGAAGGTACATCACTAACTACTTCAGACAGACGAAGCACAACTAACTTTCAGAACTTGCCAACCATGCCTACATTAGACTTTCAGGTTTTTCTTATCAACAGGTTTCTTTCTAGGTAAACAGCAGCACTAGCAACAGCTAATTTTTTGTTACGAATCATGTTGATTATGATTTTATTTCTCATTTTAACCTATGTCATTTGACATAAAATCTACCTACTATTTACTAATCCTCTAGACTGAGTAAGTACACGGCAAAATGAGACATAAAAGAAAATATCAACATAAAGCTGCTAATAAAATGTAAATTAAATGTCCCTAAGCTTCTTTCAAATATGTCCAACTATTATACGTGTAAAATATTTAATGTTACTTTATAAATTTTATAAAGTGGATTTTATTCTCAAATTTATTTTACAGTTATGTTTATTAAATTATGTTTAATAAGAATGCATTCTACTTACGGATTTATTTTATTCCTAGAACGTTATTACAAAAGTAAAGTTCAGATATAAGCCGATTGAATTTAATTTGTTTAACTCCTATTTGCTGATAGGTCCTTAATTTTGTTATTAATGATGCTTAAAAGTCCTTAAAAGTTCTTAATTTCCATGTGCAAAAATGTGTACTACCCTGAATAACACTAAAAGAAAGTATGATATATCGAACACAGAGCCGCATGTGATAGCACGGGCTTAAACACTTTCCTTGATTAAAACACCGTTACCCAAAATAACTAAAAAAGATAGGAATGTGAAATTTTTATTATTACATATTTGTCTATAATTATATCATTTTTATTACATAGCTGATGTCGCCACAGGTGTTTGGAAACAAGGATTAATAACGAAATGGTGTTGATAAAACGAGAGACGAAATTTACTGTGAGCTGTCAAAAACCCAAATTGCCTACCAATAGTGTTACGTAAGAAAAAATTGTTATAATATTAATTTACTTTAAACTGCCTGCTCACGCAACTTTCTCTTTGTGCCTCGACAAAATGGAAAACAAACCACCCAAACGCTACTTTCATAAAAACAATATCTAGACTCATTAAGTAACTGGTGATTGTAAAACTAAGACTTTAAGTTAGATAAATTATATAAATCAGAGTAAAATAAAGTTTATCAGATCAACGCTCATATTCTTTAAGTCTCTATAATGAAAGGATTTGGTAAATTCGTAAGATTATTTTTTGATGAAATTCGAAAATTCAATTCAGCTTTTTATTCCACAAAATGCTATCTCACTCTAAATTAAAACTAAATACATTGAATTTCCTGAAAACACATAAATTTCAGTACAACTCCAGGGATAGCCACAAACACTTTTCATTTAAATATAACACAGAACAGCTCAAAACACCCAGAAAGGATAAATCCCACAAGTAATAAGTCAGTTATCAGTTCAGATAAAATTAATTAATCCAATCGGATAGTGACAACACATATAAAATTAATTTTTCTACTACCCGCTAAGTTACCCAAGCTCGAAGTGAAGAAAGAAATAACCATGTTTCCTGTAAGGATCACATGGACCTACAGTAGACCATCAGAGAAAACTAAAATAAAACTTACAAGAATAGATCAATAAAAAAACATTTATTAAGTCTTCCAATAAAAATTTTAAATTTAAATAACTGGGATTGCTGGAGCTGTAGAGACATTAGGAATTTTTGGAGCAAGAGAGATGTAAATAAGCAAACGCCTTCGTGCGGAATCAAAGGCCCACCAGCGGCCGAGCGGTAAAGTCGCTGAACACTGGTAGTTCGGTCCGAGGTTCGAATCCCGCGAACGGGCTGGCTGTATGGGCATTTTCGTGGTTTTCCTTATGTGTAACA